GTAGTACGGGGTGGCCTCGTCAAAGACCACGTCCCGACTACGGATGAGGCGGCCTGAGGGGGGGTGGAGGAAAAGGTAGTCCAGGGTGTAGGTGGTGTTGTGTCCAAGGTAGACACAGGGGGAGTGCGAGACGCAAGCTTTCCACGTGCACGTGGGCGGTCGCAGGGTGTATGAGGAACATACGCCTTGCAACCCCACACAGCGCAGAGGGGTATATCTATGGCTTGCTGGAGGTCCATAGTTCGGGTGGGGGTGGAAGTGGGACGAGAGGGGTGGGGGTAGAGGTTAGTGAGGAGGCACGTGAAGGATGGCATAGCCCCAAAGAGAAGGTGGGCAGGAGGCGTGAACGAGAAGGCACCGGGCAGTTTTGGTGATCTCCCGACAGCGGCTCTCCGCCACAAACCATTCTGCTGAGGGGAGTGAGGGAGAGTGTAGTGTGGAGGATGCCGTAGAGGTGCAGTAGGAGGACAGGGTGCGTTGATGGAACTCACCGCCTCCATCGGAATGGAAGCGGGCGAACAGGGGCGACCAAAGAGTGGTTGCGTGCTTGTTCAGCCCAGGCTGTTGATGGCAGCCGGGGCCTCTCCGCCTTCGTACGAGGAGGGTGACGGAGGAGTATCGACTGTGATCATCCACCAGGATGAGGAGGTAGCGATGTCCTGCCTGGTGGGGGAGGGGTTGGGGGCCCCAAAGGTCCATGTGGACGAGGTCAAGGGGGTTGGAGGGAAAAGGAGGGGTTACTCGTATGTGGTTGTTGCTTTAGCTTGCTTTCAACGCAAACTGAGCAAGGAGGGGAGGGGGGAAGGAGGAGGGGGGGAAGGGTAAGGGGAGGCCGTCAAGGAGTTTAGTGAGGATGGATCTGCGAAGGGTGGCAAAGTTGGGATGGCCAAGGCGATGGTGGAGAGAGAATGGTGGGGTGTGTGAGATCACGACAGTGACAGGGGGAGGGTGGGTTAGATGCGGGGGGAGGGGAAGGGGGAGGGGGAAGGAAGCGGTTGAGGGGAAGGGAGAGGGAGGGGGAGGGGAGAGGGAGGGGGAGGGGGAGGAGGGGGGGGGAAGGGGGGAGGGGAGGGGTAGGGGGGGAGTTCGAGAGGAGTGGAAGGGGCGGGGATGGGGGTGTGGAGAGTTGGGTGAAGGGTGGGACGGGGGTATGCGGAAGGTGTACATGTGGGTGGAGGGGCACCGATGGACACGGCAGAGGAAGCGACCGTGAGGAGGTGTGAAATAAGTCGCAATATGCTTTGTGACCCAGGGAATATGGTGGTGACACCTGAGTCGGAGAGGGCACCAAGGGATACCAAGTTGTTTCCGAAGGGAGGGGGATATAGAGACCTGTGACAGTACCTGAGGGAAAGAGGGGACAGGGGAGGTGTGGAGGTGTAGCGGCTTTGTATTGCAAAGCTGGAGTTCAGCCCAAGTACTGTGGAGTGGTGTGAGGAGGGGGAGGAGCGTGCCTGCGTCACGAAGGACCGTGTGTGTGGCTCCGCTATCACGGATGAACTCAAGGGGCTTTGAGGAGGAGGAGGACTCGAAGTACTGGAATGAGGACTCATTAATAGCATTGGCATACAGAGGATCAATGCAAGAGCTAGCAGTGGTGACATGGCCTATGAAACCCGTGGAAGGAAACGGTGTGAAGCCGGGGGGGTGAGAGGGGGAGGTGGGCAGTTCAGCAGGTGCAGCAGTTGTAGCAGTTGCAAGCAGTTGCAGCTGTCCCATGGCCATACAGAGATGGGGGGTAGGGAGGGTAGGGCCAGCCAGCGTAAGGAGGAGGATAAGGGGAGAGAGGAGGATAGGGGGAGGGAGGGTTTTGAGGTGCGAGGGGTGGGGTGTGGTGAGGGTGGGAGGTGTTGGGGTGATGGTGGGTGTGGGGAGGAGGTGTTGGACTTGCTGGAGGACGTGAGGCGAGAGGTGTTGGGCGAGGACATTATGAAGGTTGGGGGGAGATGGTGCATAGGCAGGAAGGGTGCGAATGTCATGAGGGGTGGGGCGAGGGGTGATGGTGCTCCAGCGTGGGGGAGGGCCCGTGTTGCCACGTGCAAGCCATTCGTCGGTGAGAGCTTTGAAACACGTATCAGTGGGATGGGTGGTCTGGTTGCAGGTCTGACCTTTGTTAGGGCCTTGGCGAATGACATACTGGCACGGAGAGAGCCCACCCGTGGTTGAAGTGATTGCCCCACGCCCGCCACGTTCCCCAGTGCGCCCTCCTTGTCCACCTCCGCGACCGCCTCCTCTTCCACCACCGCCCGAGCCACGTCCTGGTCCGCCCCCGCTGCTGCCGCCGGTGTTTGTTCCTTTGCGCGCATGAACGGCATTGATGGAGGCAGATTCACGCAGAAGGTCAGCCTCACTGTCAAGAAGCCAGTCGATGGTAACAGCCACAGGAGGAAGACGGATGTGCTGGGAGGTGAAGTTGATGCGATAAGTGTCGTAGGTGGGTGGGAGGCAGTCAAGGATGCGTGCTGTGAGGAGGGTGTCGGAGATTAAGATGCCACGATCATTGAGACGTTGTGCAGTGTCTGTGAGGCGCCGAGCGAAGGAAGCAGCGTTGAGGGAGGAGTCCAGTGTGATGTCTTGGAATGTGCGAAAGAGGGAGAGGAGGGAACGTAGGTCCTGGCGATCATATTGGGAGGAGAGAGACTTCCAGAGGGAGGGGGAGGATGGGGGGCGAAGGTCACGCTTGAGGGAGGAGGGAACGCATGAGAAGATGATAGTAAGTGCACGGCGGTTAGCAATGCGCCATGCAGCTGTAATCGGAGTGGTGCTTACGGAGCTTAGCAGAGTACTCTTCGGAGGCGGCTTTGAATTCCTGCAAGTTTTGCAGCGGCAGCTTCGTGATCGGCGATGGCCGCTGCGTGTGCTCTGCTTTTGATGACATAGTCGTCCCGCTCCTTGTTGTATTTGTTGAGCGTGCGAGCCCACCTGTCCGGATCATCCTCCCAAGCCCCTAGGATAGGGGCTTGGGGGCAGGTTCGGTCGGGAGTGGTGGGGCGTCGGGGGGGGAGGGGCCTGGGAGTGGGGGCGGGGTGGGGGGGAGGCCATTAGGTGTTTCGAGGACAACGTCTAGGAGACAGTAATCTCCCACTCGAACGGAGCCCAGGTACGTGAAGAGGCTCTCCTCAAACGACACCCAATTGACGGCGGTGGTTGCCGTTGAGGAGCTCGAGCTTGTCGATGGAGGCAAGCTCAAGCGAGGTTGATTCGTCGGCCATGAGAGGAGGAGGAGGGAGGGAGGGGAGGTGGACAACACCGTCTTGAGGGACAGGGCGGTCCGGCTGCTCCACGGGCGGTAGCAGTAAACCCTAATTCAGGGTCCGTCGCGGCTGGTGTGCGTCTCCGCGGCGTCCACGGCATCCGCAGCTGATGGGCGTCTCAGCAGCGTCCGCGGCTGGTGGCCGCGTCCGTAGCGCCCGCGGCTGACGGCCGCGTTCGTCGCGCCCGCGGCTAACGGCCGCGTTCGTCGCGTCCCGCGGCTGACGGGCGCGTTCGTCGCGTCCGCGGCTGACGGGCACGCTCGTCGCGTCCCCGGCTGACGGGCGCGTTTGTCGCGTCCGCGGCTGACGGGCGCGTTCGTCGCGTCCGCGGCTGACGGGCGCGCTCGTCGCGTCCCCGGCTGACGGGCGCGTTCGTCGCGTCCGCGGCTGACGGGCGCGTTCGTCGCGTCCGCGGCTGACGGGCGCGCTCGTCGCGTCCCCCGGCTGACGGGCGCGTTCGTCGCGTCCGCGGCTGACGGGCGCGGTTCGTCGCGTCCGCGGCTGACGGGCGCGTTCGTCGCGTCCGCGGCTGACGGGCGCGCTCGTCGCGTCCCCGGCTGACGGGCGCGTTGGTCGCGTCCGCGGCTGACGGGCGCGTTCGTCGCGTCCGCGGCTGACGGGCGCGTTCGTCGCGTCCGCGGCTGACGGGCGCGTTCGTCGCGTCCGCGGCTGACGGGCACGTTCGTCGCGGGGGGCGGACGTGGTGAGGAGAGGGGCGCCGAGGTGGCACGAGGGGCACGGCAGAGTCGGCGGGAGGTGCGCTGAGCGGCACGAGGGGCACAGCTGAGCCGGCGGGAGGTGCGCTAAGTGGCGCAAGGGGCACGGCAGAGCCTGCGGGAGGTGCGCTGAGAGGCACGAGGGGCACGGCTGAGCCGGCGGGAGGTGCGCTAAGGAGCGCAAGGGGCACGGCAGAGCCGGCGGGAGGTAGGGTATGGTCCTAGGATCTTGAGTGGCGTTAGCCGTAAGGGCTCTGATAGCATGTGGGAATTGAACCGATAACTTGATTAGGAATGATGAGGCTTACATAGTTGGAGCTAAGGAAGAGAGGGGTGGTTGGTACCTAGCCAACATTATTGGCCCCCACCAATAAGTTGGGTTGGAGAATTATTGGGGGGTCCCAATAATGTTGGTCAAAGTAGGCCAACATTATTGGGGGGCCAATAATCCTCCAACCCAACCTTGGGGTCCAATAATTGGGCCAAGGTTGGGTTCCAACCCCCACCTAGGGTTTAGGGTACGTACGTACGCTGCACACGTTGATCGTGGCAATCCATGTCGCCACTAAGCCCTCTCTCGTTTTGTGAGAGATCCCTGCTCCCACAAGCTGGCTGCCCTCTGTGGCGTATCACCTAGCTGCCGTAGCCTTAGAACGGTGAATTGAATCCACTATAGTAGGCAAACAAAACGAGAGAGCGGATCCTAGTGTCTAGGCTAGGCTACTTTATTCCCTACCCAGAGTCGCGAACATTTCCCTGGCCTTGGGTTGGGTTCGAGTCGCCATTTGCCTTACTGGTTGCTGCAGATTCCCTGCTCCTCGAGGCGCTTGTGGCTCTTCCCAATGTCCCAATTCCCCTTGCTACCAACTTCGCGTCATTTCCTTGAAGCTCAACAACCCTTCTGTAAAGTCGCATAACCCCAATCCTACACCTCACTACACCAACTATAGCGTACAACCAAATATATTGTTCTTTACCACTGTATTTGGTGACAGCTGTCGGAGATCTCCTTTCTCTCACCTCACCCCTTGGCTGCTTCCTCCCTTGTCCTCTTACCCTTCTTCTTTCTGCACTTCCCTGTCTGCCCGCAGGCTTTGCGTGCCTCAGCCTCAGCCACTACCTGCCCCCTCCTGTGCCCGTTCTCGGGCTACCCGAGCGCGGGTCACAGGACCCTCTCGCTGAGGCCCTCGTCCATTTACCACCGCCGCATTGGTCTGATGATCCACAGTCTTTTCCCCCTTGTCGTTCTCCAGTACCAGCACTCCAGACCCTCTCACCTCCTTCACCTTCCATCTCTGCGTTCCTAGCCCCACGTCCAGCGTATCCCTCTTTGCCCTGCGCAGGTATACCTCCTGTCCTTCCATCACTGCTGGTCTGGCCTTCCTGCCCCCCTGCTGCTGCCGCTGCTCATACCTGTGTGCGTCCCTCAACTGCGCCGTGTGCAGATTTCCAGGGCCGCAGGGAGCATCTCCCGCATGTATCGTGCCCGTGCCTCCGCTAGTGCCACCCACTGCTCTGCTCCTGTGACTTGCACCACATCTGTCAGCACCCTCGGTGCTCCCACTGGCAGGATTGGCTCCTTCCCGAACAACATGCTATACGGGGAATAGTCTTTCAGGGAGGCCTGCTTCCCAAACCGGTACCCCGCTGCAATCCAGTCCAACTCCTCATCCCAGTCTCTCTTGCGCTTCTCTCCGTATGCCCTCAGGTTCCGTTTCAGGGTTTGCACCAGGCGCTCAGTCAACCCATCGCTCTGTGGGTGGTACCTTGATGTCAGCCTGTGTGTCACCCTTGCCTCGTCCAGCAGTGCCTGAAATTCCCCTCTGAATTCCGTCCCCTGATCTGTGAGCACTTCCCCTGGTGCCCCAAACCTGCACAGGACCTGTCCCTTGAACGCCTTTGCCACGTGCCTGGAATCTTTGCTCGGCAATGCACACACCTCAACCCACTTGCTCGCGTGTTCCACCATTAGCAGTATATACCGCTTGCCTCCCCTGCTCAGTGGCAGTTCACCAGCTATATCGAGAGACCACCTGAACCCTAACCCTCTTATCGGCAGTGACTGCAGCTCCTGCTTCGCCTGTGCTAGGCTGGCCTTGCTCCTCTGACAGCCTTCGCACCCGCTGACCCATTCCCTGACCTGCCTTCTCATACCCTCCCACCACCAGCCAGTCTTCAACAGTTCCGTCGTGCGCTCGTGCCCAAAGTGCCCCAGCTTCCTGTGCACCTCCTTAATCACTCCCTCCCTGTCCTGTGGTGCAGGTACCAGCTTCCATCCGTCCGCTGTCTGTAACTGCAGCTGTCCCTGGTACCATCGGTAATGGTGCCCCCTTGCCCTGACCCTGTCAGAGACCTGCTCCTCCTCATCAGTTTCTCCCTGGATCCATCGCAGTGCTGCTGGATCTTCCCAAATATCCCTTGGCCCCTTTTTCTTCCCTGCTGCTGCCTCTTCCCCTTGCCTTGCCAGCAACATCAGCGTGTGTACTGGCTCTGCTACCGGCGGGTTCCTTGAGAGCCCGTCCACGTGCTGCAGAGTCTTTCCCGGCCTGTGGCGTATCTCAAAGTCATATTCTTGCAACGTCACGGCCCAACGCGCGTTCCTTCCTGTCAGCCCTTGGTGGGTCATCAGCCATTGCAGAGGTTGATGGTCTGTAATCAGTGTGAACTTCCTTCCCTGCAGGTATACCCTGAAGTGTTTCACAGCCCACACGGCTGCCAGCCCCTCTCCGTGGTAAGAGCTGTACTTGGCTTCCGCTGGGCTGCAGCTCCTGCTTGCGTATGCCACAACCCTCTCCTCCCCATCTAACTCCTGGCACAGGATTGCCCCCATGCCTTGGCTGCTCCAGTCGGTGTATAGGCAAAAGGGCTTGTCATTCTTGGGTAGCTGCAGAATCGTTGCTGACTGCACCGCTTCCATCAGATCTTTCAATGCTGCTTCCTGCTCCATCCCCCATTCCCACTTCCTGTCCTCCCTCAGCAGCCCGTTCAGTGGTGCAGCCCGCTTACTGAAATTCGGGACGAACCTGCGGTAATAGCTCAGAAATCCCAGTACCGCCCTCAGTCCGCTTCTGTCCTTTGGCTGCTGCAGCCTGTTCAGCACCTCAATCTTCGCCTGCTGGATCCCTAGCTGCCCGCCCCTAACCTCATAGCCCAGGTACTGCACTGTTGCCTCTCCCCACCTACACTTCTTCGGATGGCATGTCAGCCCAGCTGCTGCCAACGCCTTCAGTGTCTGCTCCACGTCTCTCACATGCTCTTCTTCCGTCCGGCTGAAAATTACTACATCATCTATGTAACACGCCGCGCACTCCAGCCCCCTTAGCACGCTGTCCATTACTCTCTGAAAGATGGCAGACGCGTTTCGCAGCCCGAATGGCATGAACAGCCACTCGTATAGGCCATCCGCTCCATGGAACGCCGTCTTCCGCACGTCCTCTTTCCTTATCCTAATCTGGTTGAACCCCTGTCTTAAGTCTAGCGTGCTAAAGACCTCACCTGCCCCCAGCCGGTCAAAGATATCTTCAGCTGTGGGCATTGGGTAGCGGTCAGGCACTGTCACCTTGTTCAGTGCCCGGTAATCCCCACACATGCGTCTGCTCAGCACCTCCCCCAGCAGATCCTTTCGGGCAGCTACTACCGTTGGTGCTGCATACTCTGATTCCGACCTCTGTATCAACCCTGCTTCCATCAGCTCCTTACATTTCTCCTTGCAGACATCCTCATCTCCAGGGGTCATCCTCCGCTTCCTCTGGTATACCGGCTCGTCCGTCACCAGCTTCAGCTCCATCTCCTTCACAGTGCACTTCCCCAGCTCCTGCATGGTAAACGCGAAGGCGTGCCTATACCTCGCCAGCACCTCCTGCATTGCCTCTTTTCCTTTCTCACTCATTGCATTCCCCACGACCCATGCTGGCTCTTCCTTGGCTGCTATGCATACCCATGCCCCCACCTTTTTCACCCTGGTCCCCCCACTCTCTTCTCCTCCTTCCTCTTCCAGCACCAGCCCTCTCCACATCCGCCTCAGTAACCACTGCATAACCTGTCCGTCCATGGCCTGTCCTAACGCTCTTCTTCTCTCCTTTTCTGTCACCCCTGCTGCCTTGGTGGCCTCCTCTCCATACCCCATTGCTCATTCCCTCTCTAACGCACTTGGCTCCTCCCATCTCTTTGAACGGCAGTCATACACCATGCCTTCTCCTGGCAGCCCGTTTTCCATTCTGAACCCAGCTGCCCCTTCGTACCCCACTAATGTCGGCCATGCCCTGCGCTCTGCCCCCACTTTGTTGCATGGGCATTGTGTCTCATGCCTGCCTTTCCTGACAGGTGCCGCTGTCCTCCCGGGCTCTAGAATCTCTCGCACGGTCCTGCTCCAGTCCCTGCGTATTCCATCCAGCTCCTGCTGCAGTTGCTCATCTGTGACCACGTTCTGCGAGTATCGCCGGACACGATGAGCTCGAGCCCCCAGCCTGGCCGCATCACATCTTACCCCTTTCCCCAGCTTCCTTGTCACTAACTCCCGCACTTTCCTGACAGGCTCCCTGCAGTCCCCTTCCAGATCCAGGTGCTCCAGCAGGTATACCACCTTCTCCTGTCCTTCCTTAATCCAGTCTATGATGCACAGCAAGTTCACCAGCAGCGCCCCTCTTGGATCTCCTAATCCCTTTCCTTTCCCTGCCCTTGACACAGCCTGACACTCCCATCCGGCCACCAGCAGGTCCACATGCCCCCAGCTCCTCACCACCTCCCGCGTGATGCTTCTTACATCAGTCACTGTTCCTCGCATTGCCTTCACTATCACTGCTTCTTCTAGTAGCTCGGGGTACTCTTGCTGCAGCTTTCTCGCATGGTGCTCTGCCATCTTCCTCACCTGTTCGTTATTTTCCACGTATACCCATTCCCTTACGGCCACTCCTGCCTTGAGCACTGCTGCCAGCCCTGCTCCTATTCCCCCAAACAGCTCAACTAGCCTTATCGGCTCTTGCCATGCCTTGACTGCTGCTGCTTTTCCCACGATCCCTGCTCTCCCTCTCTCCCTGGTCCCCATCTGCTCGCCCGTGTACGCCCTCTTTGGCTCCTGCTTAGTGAATGACACAGGCAGCTCTCCCGTCTTGCTCCCCCGCTCCCAATACTGCTTCCGAAACTTTACCTTTTCTTTCCACGTGCAGATGGTCATCCCTACTCCCCAAATCAGGTCTGTGCCCAGCAGTACATCAAAATCTTCTGAGTCTGAAATCCCACATTGCAGCCTTATACTAGTCTGCTCCTCCTTCCCCGGCATCAGGACTATCTCCACTGGAGTCTTGGTGCACGGCAGGGACTTAGGCTCACCTCCCTCTGCTGTCATTACTAGCATTCCTCGTTTTATGTGCTGTCCCGGCCCGTTCAACCCCAGCTTCTCTGCTAACCGCCTCCCCAACATCACACTCTGTGCCCCCGTATCTATAATCGCAGTTCTTGCCACTTCCCCTCCCACTGCCACTGTTCCCGCTCCTGCCACCAGCACCGTCGCTTGACTGGCTAGCCGTTCCTTGGGATGCCTGGCTGGCTCTTCTTCCCCACTACCCTTCTCCTCTGGGGCTCTCTTTGGCCTGCTCCTCACCTCTTGCTCTTTTCTTCCATCCCTGCCCCCGCTGCGCAGGCCCAACTCCTCTCGGCTGCGCAACACCATGAAATTGTACTCAGACGCTGGTTCATCTATCACCTCTGCTTCGTCATCCTCTTCCCTTGCATACAATCCTGCCTCTTTCTCCTTCTTCCCTCCCAGTGCCTGCAGCTATGCTTGCAATCTCTCTATCTGCCCTTCTATCTCCTCTGGCGTCCTCCTTGGCCCTCCTGTGCGTTGGTAGCAGTCCTTCCCCTTATGCCCCCGCTTCCCACACACCTCGCAGCTGGGTGCATCCGGGCAGTCCCTTCGGCGGTGGCCTGGCTTCCCACAGGTGTCGCAATTCCTGCAATTTCTCATCAGATGCCCTGGCTGCTTGCATCGGTGGCAGGTGCGTGTCTCAGCTCCTCTTTCCTGTCGGCTCTCTTCTCTTCCTCCCGTCTCAGGTATCATTGCTGCAGCCCAAGCAGGATTCTTCCTCTCTGTTGGCCGCGGCAGGTACACCTCATACTTTCTCTGTGCCAGCTCCACTCTCTCTGCTAGCTCAAACACCTCTTCAGGTGTCGCATCTGCTCCCAGCTCGTAAACCCGCATTCTCAGTCCCCCTGCCAGTCCCTTGTCCAGCCCATTTAGGAATTTACTAATGATCATACTGCTGTCCGTGCACACCACGTCCTCTGCTAGATTCATCAGCCGGCCGTAGTACGTTAGCAAAGATTCCTCGTCCCTCCTCTTGAACTCTTGAAACTCTTTGATGCGCGCCGCTGTGTGCCCTGGAAACTGCTTTCTCAGCCGGTCCAGAAATAGCACCGTCGGGTCCTCCTCATCTTCATCGGCCCTCCTCAACCACTCTCCTATCTTCATGCGATATAAGGTTTCTGCTTCCCCCCCGAGTGTGTTTGGCAGGCTCAAGAAGAAGTCTATGGGGTCCATCCCGCTTCGCTCGCACCGATACTTCACATTGCTGATCTGCATCAGGTAGTTCTTGAGGCTTGGTCCTGTGTTCTCGTTCCCTGTGAAGCGTACCGGCACCTCCACCCGTGGTACTGCCGTTGCGCCCCATCTCCCCAAATCCCAACTCCCCGAGCCTCCCCGATCTGTCAGAGCAGCCCCTCGCTGCTTTCCTTTATCTCCTCTGCTTCCTGCGCTTGTCCCGTACAGTGCTCGCTCCAGTCCCTCACGAGCTGCCCTGGCCCCACTCGATCCTTCTCCATGCTGCCATAGCCTCCTAGTGCCACTGGAACTCTGACCTTTCCTCTGGGCGTCCTCGCACTGTCTCCTGCACCTTTCCTGATCCTCCCAACGTCCATTTCCCCGCACAGGTGAACGTTCCTGGCGATGCCACTCTTGCTCCCTCCGCTGCCGACCTCCTCCTTCTGCTCTGGAGCCGAGCGGTGATCGCCTTCCCCTTTCTCGTCCTTCTCTGTTGCATACCTGCTCCCACTCAGGCGGGCTCTGCTGACGTCGCTCCTCATAGTCCAACCTCTCTTCCCGCTGTTCCCGCTCGGCCCACCGACCTTCACCCATCGCCATGCGCCGTCGGCGGTCATATCCGGGTCTCGGCTCAGGCGAGCGGTAGACACCCGCTGATGCTCTCTTTCCCTCTTCCTGCCGTCCCGCAGGTGAGTACTCCTCGTTCCCGTGCTCTTCGTCCTCTCCCCGCACCTTTTCGTGTCGGGCTCGCTCCCTTTCATCCCTCCTCTTGTACCTTTGCCCTCCTCCTTCCCGCGCAACAGGGAAAGCCTGCTCATCGTTGGCGATGTCGCGCTTTCCGCCGCCCCGCGTAGTGGGGAACTCCTCCTCGTCGGCCGCGTCACGCCTTCCGCCGCCCCGCCCAGTGGGCGATCTGTCTTCGTCGACGTTTTCACGCCTTCCGCCGGCCCACGCAGTGGGCGCTCCGTCATCGTCGACGTTTTCACGCTTTCCGCCGCCCCGCGCAGTGGGCGATCCGTCATCGTCGGCGTTTTCCCGCCTTCCGCCGGCCCGCGCAGTGGGCGATCCGACGCCGTCGGCGTTCTCACGCTTCTCGTCGTCCCGCGCAGTGGGCGATCCGTCGTCGTCAGCGTTTTCATGCCTTCCGCCGCCCCGCACAGTGGGCGATCCTTCGTCGTCGGCGTTTGCACGCCTTCCGCCGCCCCGCGCAGTGGGCGATCCGTCGTCGTCGGCGTCTTCGCGCCTTCCGCCGCCCCTCGCAGTGGGCGATCTGTTGTCGTCGGCGTTTTCACGCCCTCCTCCGCCCCGCGCAGTGGGCAATCCGTCGTCGTCGGCGTTGTCACGCCTTCCACCCGTCCCGCGTTGGCCTTCTCACTTTCTTCCCTTCGCACGTCCGTCGGCGTCACCGGATCCGCGCGGTACGCCGCCCGACGTAGCGAGCGCGTCGGCGATCTCCCGCGCTCCCTCGAGCGTCTTCTCCGCGACGGAGATCGTTCCCGCCGCGAGTACGTACGCTGCACACGTTGATCGTGGCAATCCATGTCGCCACTAAGCCCTCTCTCGTTTTGTGAGAGATCCCTGCTCCCACAAGCTGGCTGCCCTCTGTGGCGTATCACCTAGCTGCCGTAGCCTTAGAACGGTGAATTGAATCCACTATAGTAGGCAAACAAAACGAGAGAGCGGATCCTAGTGTCTAGGCTAGGGTGCTTTATTCCCTACCCAGAGTCGCGAACATTTCCCTGGCCTTGGGTTGGGTTCGAGTCGCCATTTGCCTTACTGGTTGCTGCAGATTCCCTGCTCCTCGAGGCGCTTGTGGCTCTTCCCAATGTCCCAATTCCCCTTGCTACCAACTTCGCGTCATTTCCTTGAAGCTCAACAACCCTTCTGTAAAGTCGCATAACCCCAACCCTACACCTCACTACTCCAACTATAGCGTACAACCAAATATATTGTTCTTTACCACTGTATTTGGTGACAGTACTCGCACTAGAACACCCATGCTACGCCCTTCTCACACTCACTACACTCTTTCTCGCACTCACAGTGGGGCCATCATCGCCGGCTGTGGCATGGACAGCAGCAACCCTTTCACAAAATTGAAGGCACCTTAAAAGTCGAATAGATAGGCGCCTTGAAAGTCCTGACTCCTGCAAGGACACTGGCAAACGCTCCATCCAAACCCTCTCACGAATTTTCCCAACCCCTCTTCCTGTCTTTCTCCATTTGTCTCCTTTCCTTGTCGCCTCTCCTCCGTCAGAGTGCTGGCACGTCGTAGAGCAGTTTTTTTGGATGGGAACACGTGGACAGACCTCCCATCCAAGCCTCTCACGAATGTCTCCACACTTTCTCCTTGTCTTTCTCTGGTTGTCTCCTCTCCTCCTCACTTCCCTTCACCAGAGTGCTGACACGTCGTAGAGCAGTCCAACACTTGGACAGACCTCCCATCCAAGTTTCCTAGAGGCCCTCACTATTTCTTGCTCACTCCCTCTCCCCATCCTTATCGTCCTCCATTCCTTTCTTTCTGTTCTAAAACTTCCCAACTCCCCCCATCAGAGTGCTGGCACGTGGTAGACCAGTCCTTCACCTGGACAGACCTCCCATCCACGCCTCTCACGTACCTCTCCACCTTCTCTCCCTCTCTTTCTCTGTTTCACTCCTTCCCTTCACCAGAGTGCTGGCACGTGGTAGACCAGTCCTTCACCTGGACAGACCTCCCATCCACGCCTCTCACGTACCTCTCCACCTTCTCTCCCTCTCTTTCTCTGTTTCACTCCTTCCCTTCACCAGAGTGCTGGCACGTGGTAGACCAGTCCTTCACTTGGACAGACCTCCCATCCAAGTTCCCAACCAAGATTCTACAGTACCCTGTGAGTCATTTTTCTTAAGGCACCTTATATGCTTTGAGTCGACTCAAAACGACCTCCCATCGAAGTTCCCGACCAAGATTCTACAGTACCCTGTGAGTCATGTTGTTAAGGCACCTTTGTTACAACTGTATTACCTCCCACTCCCGTCTTCCTATCCCACAACCCAGCTGTACGTGGGTTTGTGACGTACACACACACCAACTTCATTGACTGCCTCTCATTCCTCGTCGTTTTCAACGTCTGATCCCACTTCGCGCCCTTCTGCCCCTCCGCACTCCCTCCCTCCTGCCCCACCTTCCCCCTTCCTGCCACATAGTCTTGCTGTGTGTAATGTGTTTTCTGCACACCAACTACATTGACTGCCTCTCATTCCTGGCTGCTCCCTTCACCCTCCCCCACCGTTTCGCACCGCATGCCACCCAGCTATACGTGGTGTGTGACGTACACACCAACTACATTGACTGCCTTCGGTGGAATGGAGACTTCGTGCTCTCTAAAGTATGTCCCTCTATTATAAATTATCAAATTGTGGTTTATATGCATGTATTAATATGTTCTATGTGTACTGTCTGTGCAACTGCCTGTGAATTCTTACACATCCACTCTGCTTTTTTGTGTCCCCGTGCTTTCGAATTTTTGGTTCCTCTTATGGTATGTTCCTCTGATTGCGCATTGATTATAGAGTGTAGACAACGAGGTCATCCTATGGCGCTGGTGCCACAAGCCTGGTACTGAACCCGGCTCTGCCCACCCTAATGAGGTAAACCATTCGTCCGGCTGATGTAAGCACCTCGCATTGCTGATGTAAGCACCTCGCATTGCTGATGTAAGCACCTCGCATTGCTGATGTAAGCACCTCGCATTGCTGATGTAAGCATCTCGTTCTGCTGATGTAAGCATGCGGCCCTGCTGATGTAATCACCTCGCCCTGCTGACGTGTAGGCATTTCGTGCCTTGCTGTTATAAGCATTGCGCCACATTGTCAAGTCAATCAAACCAGCATGCCACCACGTTCGTTGTGTTTTGAGTCGACTCAAAACACGCCTTGCTGTTATAAGCACATCACCGCATTGTCAAGTCAATCAAACCAGCATACCGGTACCACCGAGTTCATTGATCCGCCTTGTTGAAAGTATCCCACCTTTTCTACTCATACGAATCTACTCGTACGAATCTGTGTCATCCTGTCATCCTGTCTTTCCAGGGAGCCTTGGACATTCTGCAGCGCTACCCAGTGCCAGACTGTGGCTTCTGGTTCATTAAGTTCGACCTTGACTTCATGAACAACATCATGGCCATAGGTATACGATCCTCCCTTACCCTTCTTTTTTGAGTTATATCGAAGAATCACCCTCTGGTTCATCACCCCTCTCACTTTTGTTTTTTATAGTTGACTCAGAAATCACGTTATTCTCATTAGTACTACTACTGTTATTATTGCTACAATAATTTATCCTAGTATGGTCTTTCTTCCTTTGTGTATATATTCCTGTCCTGGTACAATAGTTACTCCGTAAGATAAAATCGATTACTGTGGCATGCCATGTATCGCCATGCCACCCTTGGCCACCATAGCAGGCAATTATGTGGGCAAGGTGTGTGGGTACGACCTGCTATCAAGCCCTCCCATTCGCTCTCACTAACACCATGCCATGCATCCCCTTTGTTACCGTGCCACCCATCACCACCCATCTCCATTACCGCAGGCAACTGTGTGGGCAAGGTGTATGTATATGACCTGCATTCAATTCAATTTTAGTGACACCATCCCATGCATACTGTGCCACCCTTTGCCACCTCTGCAGGCAATTGTGTGGGCAAGGTGTATGTGTATGACCTGCAATCAAACCCTCCTATTCGCTCCTGATGACACCATGCCATGCATCCGTTTGTTACCATGCCACCCATCACCACCCATCTCCACCATTGCAGGCGATTGTGTGGGCAAGGTGTATGTGTATGACCTGCAATCCTGCCCTCCTATTCGCTCTTACTAACACCATGCCATGCATCCCTTTGTTACCGTGTCACCCACCACCACCCCTCTCCACCACCGCAGGCAACTGTGTGGGCAAGGTGTATGTGTACGATCTGCAATCAACCCCCCCCATTCTCCTCAGCACGTAAGTGGGATGGCCATGACATGTCATGACACGTTTGGTGTGGCTTGGCGTTGTATGCAAAAGATGGGTTTTCTTTTCTTTTCTTTTCTTTATTAATGCTCGTGCTGATTCGGTGACAGTTTTGGCTCTTAACTCATACCGGTAATGTTGAAAATATAACAACTCATTAATAGTCTTTTTTTCCCACTGTCTGGATTCCCAACAGGCTTTCACGGAAGGACTGTAAAACACAAATCAGGCAAACAGCCGTGTCACATGATGGCAGGTAACCGCACTGCCCACTGCATGTGCCTGATTTTTTTTTTCTCACTATGCTTTTTCATATGGTACACGCTTCAGAAAATAACTAAATACGTAATCTCCCTTGCCCTCGCTCGCTTTGCAGGATTATAATGAGCTGCGATGATGATGGCTGGCTATGGCGATGGGACCTGGTCATGTCCCACGATTGACGGGGTGCTTGTAATGTAATCTGCATTTTTTTATGAGCAAAATCATTGTGTGCTGTCCAGCTGTGCAATAAAAGTGTAGTGTGTTTCAGCAATGCTATTCTTTCAAATAATAGCTGCACCCTGTCCTTGTTACAGGCCCTATCACAGGCTTGTGAATCGCGAAGAAACACAGCAAAGCTCGCGACTGGCGACCTATTGCGACGCTACGGTAACATCACATGCGAACAGCCTTGGTGGATCTCAAGATGCGTTCACTTTAGCGAGTCGGGGTTAGTTCAGGTCGGGACAGATTCGTTTTAGGTCGAGGTGAGGTTAATCTGGGAAGGGGTAATGCGAGGTTACTGGGTAATCGACTCGCCACAGTGACATCTCGCGTAGCCTAGAAATGGAATGAGTAACCGCAAACGCGCCTGGGTCGAATATACTCCTATTCTAGTCCGTCTGCACCACACTTCAGTGTGAATTTACTCCTATTTCAGTCCGTCTGCACCGTTAGCTGCAAGCCGTAGCGCGCTTGGGTTCCTGCTCACGGCGCAACCTGGCCATTCAAAGTACTCCGGCACAGCTAGCCTACTGTACAGATTATCGAATCCTACAATAGTTAGTAAAATTGCTTCGCATGTTGCTGTAATCGTGTGTACGATGTTATACTGTACTCTTCCGTAGATTGTACATTCTGACGGCACGCCTAGACTGCGTACAGCTTATCACAGTTCTAAAATATTAATTCGATTGTAGGAGTTGCGCACGAACGCAGAATGGCGGGCGAGGCCACGTCATCCATCCTGCAGTTCGCCACGTGGCAGAGCTCCGTTGACGTGTCGTTCTGGGAGAAGCTCGCGTCGCTGAAGGTCGACTCGCAAGGCCTGAAAGAGGAAGACGTGGCAATCCATGGTAGGCTGCGTGTCGCTGGCTGAAGATTCGATTTGCTGGCTGCAAAATAACGACAGCTTATGCTGAATTAGTATATCTTATTCGTGGTATTAACGGCTGTTCGTCAAGGGAAGGAAGAGTTTATAGCTGATTTCGGACCAAGGAAGCATGGTTCACTCTACCTGTTCTGTGTTTTCAGCGGCATAAGCCTTCGCCCTTCATGTATTCTTCGGTAATCCCCTTTTTTAACCTTTTCATTATTTTCTCCCAATCTTTTTCCTCACTCACAGGTTTCTTCACTCCATCCTCACACTCTCAGCTCCCCTCCTTCCTCTCCCTCTCCTCCGCCTCCTTCCCCCCTTCCCCTGCCCCACCTCCTCGCTTCCACCTCATTCAACCGGATGATACCACCAATACTTCGGACAGCACCAGTGCTGACGTCACCACCACTGCCGAGGTCGCTGCTGCTTCTGACGTCATCGCCACTGCTGGCAACAGCAGCAGCAGCAGCGCTGTCAGTAGCACCGGTCACATCACTAGCGCAAGCAGCACAGATGTTGCGAACAGCAACGAGAGCAGGAGTGTGGTTACCAGCGATGGCAGGAGCGTCGTGGCAGGGGTGCTACGGATTGCCAACACAGTGGAGTCGTTTCGAGCATTTGACCGACGGAAGATGATGGAGGGAGTGGCACAGCAGGTGAGGGGAAGAGAGGGAGTGTGTTTACCTGTGTAATGACCGGTGTGATAGGAGCGTAGTTGCAGGTGAGATTGGCCTGAGGAGAACCGTGATGATGGTGATCACAGTGGAATCGTTTCAAGCGTTTGACCGGAGAAAAATGATGGAGGGAGTGGCGCAGCAGGTGAGAGGATGAGCATGAGTGAGTGTGCGTGTGTGCGTGCATGCGTGCGTGTGTGCGTGCGTGAGTGTGTGGTTATGAGTGTGGTTACCAGGGATGTCAGCAGCATGGTGTCAGGCAGGGGTGCTACTGATTCCCAGCACAGTGGAGTCGTTTCGGGCGTTTGACCGACGGAAGATGAGGGAGGGAGTGGCACAGCAGGTGAGAGGGAGAACGAGAGTGAACTAAGTGTGTGGTTACCAGTGTGGTTACCTCCAGCGATGGTCGGAGTGTGGTAGCGGGAGTGCTTCGGATTGCCAACACAGTGGAGGCGTTTCGGGCGTTTGACCGACGGAAGATGATGGAGGGAGTGGCGCAGCAGGTGAGGGGAGAATCATGAGTGTGTGTGTATGCGTTGCTTCCAGTTATCCTACCACCAGTGAGGGGAAAGGAGCTGTCGAAAGTGAACAGGTGGGCTGCGGAGGCCTTATTTCCATCAACTCTTGCTGTTTTAGGACAGAGAAACAAACCCCATGGAATGATGGCGGAAAAAGCCTGGTTTCGCGCTAGCTTAGAGCGTTTCTTAGAGAGCCAGTATGGATCAAATTTTCACTAAGAGGAGAATCATGAGTGTGTGTGTGTGTGTATGCGTAGCTTCCAGTTATCCTACCACCAGTGACGGGAAAGGAGTGAATTGTGGACGAAACTGTTAGGCGAATTAATCCTGCAATTTAACTGTTAGTTCTATCTTTCAATGTCCTCTTGCTGTTATCCATGCGTCATCCTATATACATCTCCATCAAGTTGTTTTTCAGTCGAGCAATGCACCATCCTTCCTGTAGAACACATGCATTTCTCTATTCTGCCACATCCATTTTACGACAAAGGCCTTTGTCGTATGTCAGCCAATTCCCTGCCTTCTCTCTGCGCCCTCCCCTCCCCCCACCCACATCTCCTCAGCTTTGGCAGGACGTTTTATCTGGCAAGGCAGAAAGCAACCCATCTCTCCTCAACGCGTTCTTCCTCCTCGTCTATCCAGACATCAAGCATTGGCGCTTCCACTACGCCTTTGCCTTCCCTGCTCTCGCCCTCCCCGCCCCTGCCACACTTGCTGGCCCGCCTTTGCCTGCAACGCAAGCCTTTTCTCCGCAACTGGTGAGTGCCCCTATTCTGTAACTCCCTTTCTTGCCTCAACTCACTTTGCTGCACCTTTGCGTGCGCGCCTCTCGCTTTCCCGGCTTCCTCCCTCCCCTCCTCTGCCATCCTCGCTTTCCCGGCTTCCTCCCTCCCCTCCTCTGCCATCCTCGCTTTCCCGGCTTCCTCCCTCCCCTCCTCTGCCATCCTCGCTTTCCCGGCTTCCTCCCTCCCCTCCTCTGCCATCCTCGCTTTTCCCCCTCTGCCTGCAACCCAGGCCTTCTCACTTCTATTTTGGGGTGCTCATCATGACCCTTCTGTTCTGCCTGAGCCGTACACTCCCCTTCTCGACCCAACTCGTGCTTTTAATCTTTGAGAGAGTGGAGCGATTTCCTAATAAACTCATCTTATGAATAAACTCATCTTAAATGAATGTAGTATGATTTGAGGCGAAGGAGGTTCATCCGTCAAACTTCTCTTTCACCCCTCCCATTCCTTCTACAATACAGGCAGAAGCTATCGAGAAGGAGTGTGAGCGATGGAGACAAGAAGGGAGTGGGAGGGGGCCAAGGGAAGTGGAAGCAGCTGCGTTGACTGGCGAAGCTGAGGGTCCCGAGGGAGGGAAAGAGAACGGAAACAAGAGGGCAGTTACGGACGGCGAAGCAGCAGAGAATGGGGAAGTGGAAGAGGGAAGACAAGGAGAGAAAGGCAATGAGAGCGCAAGTGGAGAAATAAGAACAGCGGACAGCGCAGCAGCAGCAGCAGCAGCAGCCATAGTAGGAGAAACTGCATCGGAAGCCCTCTTATCGGAGAAGGGTGCCCCTTTCTTCCTTCTCCAAATAGACACCAGCGCCACTAATACCAGCTCCGCACATCCCTCAGTAACAGCACATCCGTTAACAGAGTACCAGCGACTGGCAACCCCAAACGAATCCCTCTCTTCCTCTTCCCCCTCCGCTCCTCCATCTCTCCTCGTTGCGTTCTTCGACCCCTGCCATCTGCCCCTCTCCCCCGGCTGGCCCCTCCGCAACCTGCTTCTCCTCGCCTCTCTTCGCTGGCAGGTCAGAGCTTGTTCCTCTGTTTCTCTTGCTTTTTCTCCTCCTCCCCTTCCGCTCCTCCATCACCACCCTCCCCGCCCCTCCCTTGACTTGTCCCTTTCTATTCCTCCCATGCCTCCTCCCTCCATGTGCTCTGCCTGCGGCAGTGCCACGGTCGAATCAACCTGCACCACTCACACCCGCGCACCCTCCCTTCTGTACCTTCCTCTCTATGCCTCCCTCCCAGGCCACGTCTCTCCACGTGCTCTGCCTGCGCCAGCGCCACGGTCGAATCAGACTGCACCACTCGCTGCTGCTGCACGTCCAGATACCACCTCCCCCAGGCACGTCCACACATACCACCTCCCCAGGCACGTCCACACAATTACCACCTCCCCAGGCACGTCCGTACACATACCACCTCCCCCAGGCACGTCCGTACACATACCACCTCCCCCAGGCACGTCCGTACACATACCACCCAAACACATCCAGATGCCATTTTCTCATGCCACTTCCTCTAGGCATCTTGAAATATCACGAGTTGCCTTCTTTTCTCCCTTGCAGCTGATTGGCTGAACCCAATCACAGCACCTGCCACGTGTCCATCCGCCACTGGCTGGGAGCTGAACACCAAGGGTCGAACCGGGGCGCGGTGTGCTGACCTGGCGCCGCTGATGGACCCGACCAGGCTGGCAGACGAGGCGGCATCTCTCAACCTGAAGCTGATGAGGTGGCGTGTGCTGCCACAGCTGCAGCTGGAGCGGTTGAATGCAACCAAGTGTCTACTGTTAGGGGCTGGCACTCTTGGGTGCCAGGTGGCGCGCTCTCTCCTGGTAAGTCTGTGTGTTTCTTGGATCAACCTGAAGCTGATGAGGTGGCGTGTGCTGCCACAGCTGCAGCTGGAGCGATTGAATGTAACAAAATGTTTGCTTCTAGGGGCCGGCACGCTTGGTTGCCAAGTTGCTCGCTCCCTGCTGTTGAGTCTGTGCTTGTTGCAGCATCTGTGCTGATGGGAAATAGAGGCCACAGTTGAAGCTGAAACTGATGAGGTGGCGCGTGCTGCCACAGGCTCAGCTGCAGCTGGAGTGGCTGACTGCAACCAAGTGCTTGCTGCTTGGGGAAGGACTTGGTTGCACCCCCCTCGGGTGTCAGTCAGGTGGCTTGCTTGCAGGAAAAGGCACGAAGTGCTTCAATGGCTTGCAGCGAGCGAACCAGGTGCTCTGAAGCATTTGCTTTGCAGCGACTTCGCAAAGCCATTACTGCTGAGATGCTCACCGCTCCCTCATTTGAATCGACTCAAAAGCCCTTGCTGCTGAGATGCTCACCGCTCCCGCTTACAACGTTTGAGTTCATTCTCTTACATGCTTGTTGTCATCCCACACTCTCTCTTGGTCTAAACCCGCCAGGCATGGGGCATTCGCGACATTACCCTCGTGGACTATGGGGCAGTTTCGTATTCTAACCCCGTACGACAGTGCCTCTTCTCTCTCAAGCACTGCCTGAATGGCGGCGCTCCAAAGGCGCAGGCAGCAGCAGAAGCCCTCAAAGAAATACTTCCCACTGCTGTGAGTGTGTGATTTAACACCTGTTATTATAATCCCCTTTCTCTATCAAGCACAGCCTAAATGGCGGCGCTCCAAAGGGGCAGGCAGCAGCAGATGCAGTTAAGGAAATACTTCTCACTGCTGTGAGTGTGGTGTGCTGTGCTGTGCTGTGCTGTGCTGTGCTGTGCTGTGCTGTGCTGTGCTGTGCTGTGCTGTGCTGTGCTGTGCTGTGCTGTGCTGTGCTGTGCTGTGGTGTGCTGTGCTGTGCTGTGGTGTGCTGTGGTGTGCTGTGGTGTGCTGTGGTGTGGGTGGTGTGGTGTGGTGTGGTGCTGGTTTTAAAAGCCAGTAAGATAAAGCACTTTCAAGCACTGCCTGAATGGCGGCGTTCCAAAGACACAGGCAGCAGCAGAAAGGAAACACTCTCCACTGCCGTAAATGTGGGTTTTTAATTGTTTATGTAAGTGCAAGAACTTCTCGCGGCTTCGATTCGTCAGATTCTTCCCCCGTCCCACACTCTGCACACACAAGTTGTTTCAACAAGATTCTTCAAAACAATTTTGCAGCTGCTTCCCCCGTCCCCCCATCCTCGTTTTTCGCACCTTCCTCGACCCTTCAACAACCCATTCCCCTCCAATAGCCGACCCCAAACCCTGAACCCGAAACCCTGAACCCCTGAATTCTGAACCTTGAACCGTGACTACCCTCGTCCCCCCAGCACACATCAGGCCATCGCCTCGCCATTCCCATGCAAGCCCCCCCCCCCCCCCCCCCCTGTGTTGCCCTTTAAGGGAAATGTTGAGTTATCTTATCCCAGACCTCCCCTTCAATGCCCCATTTCCACCCCCCTCCCTTCCCATCCCCTCCCCTGCCCCCACCCTGCATGCAGCGCACATCAGGCCATCGCCTCGCCATTCCTATGCCTGCCAGGTCACCCCGTGCCAGCCTCAATGGGAGATTTCCACTCGACCCAAACAACCCTTCAAAACCCCATGTTTCCCTCCCTTTCCCTTCCCGCCCTCCCTTGCCCCCACCCTTTCTTCCAGCGTACATCAGGCCATCGCCTCGCCATCCCCATGCCAGGTCACCCCGTGTCTCCCTCCGAGGCGCCACGTGTGCAGGCTGACGTGACAGCCCTGCTGGCACTCGTCCGCCAATCAGACGCCGTCTTCCTCCTTACTGATACAAGAGAGAGCCGCTGGCTGCCCACCCTGCTATGCGCAGCCGAGGGGAAGGTGAGGTTTTATGAGAGGCGTTAGGTAGAGATGGTATGGGAAGGGGAAGGGGAGGGGTTGAGGAAAAGCTGTTGGCTGCCCATCATCGCCTGCAATCATCGCCACATGCCACACCCCATGGCATTCTAACCACCATCCCATGCGTCTCCCTTGCCATCAACACACCCCGCACAGGTGGCCATCAACGCAGCCCTCGGCTTCAACTCCTTTCTTGTCATGCGCCACACACAAGGCACCTGCACTCCATTCATGCCACTCCCCGTTATACCGTCGCTCCTGTACCATCCTTTCCTTACCGCACCCTTCTCAGGTGGCCATCAACGCTGCTCTTGGCTTCGACTCCTTCCTTGTCATGCGCCACGGGGCTCCGCTGCTGCCTCTGCTTGACACGTCAGCTCCAGTAGCGTCTGAGTCAGCGCCAGCAGCGTCTGAGTCAGCACCAGCAGCGTCTGAGTCAGCACCTGCTGCTTCTGAGTCAGCGCCATCCAAGCGCCTCGGCTGCTATTTCTGCAACGATGTCGTTGCTCCCCTCAATGTGAGCCGCCGCCCTACCCTCATGTGAGCTACTCTCATCTCCTAGCTACCCTACCCACATATCATTTGCGGTGTTGCCCCTCACTGCCACCAGCTTCCGAGGACCACTCTCCCTTATGCCACACGCCACCACACCACACCACACCAACACCACATTACACCGCATTACACCACACACACGGTCGTCCAAGTGCCTCGGCTGCTATTTTTGCAACGATGTTGTTGGTCCCCTCAATGTCAGCTACTCTCATCTCCTTTGCACTGCGGCCTCTCACTGTCACCCACTCTCTCAAGCTGTCTGCATTCTTGCTTGCTGTCTGATTGTGTGTGTTGCTACCTTCAAAGTTCGAACTCACTCCTCATTCCTCTCCCTCTGTACTTTCTTCCTCTTCCCACCAGTCCACGGCTCATCGCACGCTAGACCAGCAGTGCACAGTCACTCGCCCAGGCCTGGCAGCCATAGCGGGGGGCCTTGCTGTCTTCCGGTGTGCGTTGCTGCCCCCAGCTACCTCCATCATTTCAGCTCCACCCTTCCCTTCCCGTTTTCCCTATACCCGCCAGTCCACCGCTCATCGCACATCGCATTCTCCACCAGCAGTGCGCCGTCACGCGCGTGACGAGTCGATTTTTGAGTCGACTCAATAATCGCTCACCGCACACCGCATTCTCGAAGCAGTGCACCGTCACACGCCCTGGCAGTCTGGCTGTCGGGCCCTGGCCTGGCACCCATGGCCGAAGCTTTGGCAGTCTAGCTGTCTGGCTGTCGGGCTGTCTGGCTGTGCCTGTCTGCCGTCCAACTCACCCCTCATCCGCCTCTCTTCATGATTTCTTCCCCTTCCTTCCCATTTACCCCCACCAGTCCACAGCTCACCGCACGCTAGACCAGCAGTGCACAGTCACGCGCCCTGGCCTGGCAACCATTGCAGGGGCTCTGGCAGTGGAGTTATTGGTGGGGCTGCTGCACCATCCCATGGGGTAAGGGTCAGCTGTAACGTGAGTGGTGAGTGCTAGCTGTAAGGAGCAGGTGAGTGGGCTGGCAGCCATAGTAGGTGCTCTGGCAGTGGAGTTGTTGGTGGGGCTGCTGCACCATCCCATGGGGTAAGGATGGCTTGCAACTTGTAAGGGTCGAGCGTGTATGGGTGGAAGGAGCAGGTGAGTGGGCTGGCAGCCATAGTAGGTGCTCTGGCAGTGGAGTTGTTGGTGGGGCTGCTGCACCATCCCATGGGGTAAGGATGGCTTGCAACTTGTAAGGGTCGAGCGTGTATGGGTGGAAGGAGCAGGTGAGTGGGCTGGCAGCCATAGTAGGTGCTCTGGCAGTGGAGTTGTTGGTGGGGCTGCTGCACCATTCCATGGGGTAAGGATGGCTTGCAACTTGTAAGGGTCGAGCGTGTATGGGTGGAAGGAGCAGGTGAGTGGGCTGGCAGCCATAGTAGGTGCTCTGGCAGTGGAGTTGTTGGTGGGGCTGCTGCACCATCCCATGGGGTAAGGATGGCTTGCAACTTGTAAGGGTCGAGCGTGTATGGGTGGAAGGAGCAGGTGAGTGGGCTGGCAGCCATAGTAGGGGCTCTGGCAGTGGAGTGCTGGTGGGGCTACTGCACCACCCTTTAGGGTGAGTTGTTTCCAAGTGTTAGGGCCTCTAACGTAGGGGTATTGGACGAGGCTGCTGCACCATTCTTCAGGATGAGTCATTGTGATTGTTATGGGGCATCTGGTTCGCGGCTTTTTCTCCTCGTGCGGTTGTGGCTCATTCCTACTCTTGTCCCCTCCCGCCCCCTTTCACCCCCTCTCATCTCTCCCCACCCACTCAGAGTCGCAGCACCAGCAGAAGACACCAGTGCTGATGGGGTTTCTGCCTCTGCTTCTTCCCACCTCTGCTCGCCTCTGGGTCCACTGCCTCACCAGCTGCGCGGCTTCCTCTCCTCCTTCTCCCAGCTGCCCATCACTGGCTTCGCCTTCCACCAGTGTACTGCCTGCTCCCCTATGGTAAGTTCCCTGCTTATATTAGCTATTACATGCCTCACCAGCTACGCGGCTTCCTCTCCTCCTTCTCTCAGCTACCCATCACTGGGTTTGCCTTCCACCAGTGCACCGCCTGCTCCCCCACAGTAAGTTCACTGCTTCTGTTAACTCGTGCATGCCCCACCAGCTACGCGGCTTCCTCTCCTCCTTCTCCCAACTCCCCATCACTGGATTCGCCTTCCCCCAGTGCACCGCCTGCTCCCCCACGGTAAGTCTACTGCCTCAATTAGCTATTACATGCCTCACCATCTTCTGGTGCGCGGCTTCCTCTCCTCCTCCCAGCTCCTCATTACTGGATTCGCCTTCCACCAGTGCACCGTCTGCTCCCCTACAGTGAGAATTCAGCATTGCGAATTTAATGATATTAATATGTATGTATCCTATATGTATGTATGGATATAATTTTCACATCCTTTTTCATGCTCTCATATGCCTTGTTTTCCTCAACGTAGGTGGTTTCAGCATACAGGGAGCGTCGTTATGCGTTCCTTATGGACGCGTTTAACGATCCCACATATTTAGAGAGGATCACAGGCTTGGATAAGCTGCATGCCGCCACTGTAGAGATTGAGGTCGATTGGGACGATAGTGAGGATGACAACAGTGAGGACTTCGGGGAAATAGTGAGTGAATGATGGCCATTTATTGGCAGTGTACGGAGCAAGTACAACCTTGTTGTGATACTGTACAGAGCAGATACAAATGTATTGTATAATTGAGAGACTGCCGCCAATGTATACCCCCCGTCAGGTAAGGTTGTGTGTTGATATTTTAGTACGGTAGCATGATTGTAATTCAGCACGTTTGATGCATTTTTGTTCCTCTTAACTCCTGACAGCCCTTGCTCTAGTGGGCTGTACCCTTTACAGGACCTGTCGGTTAGCAGGAGGAATTGTAGGTTTGTGTTTATCACTTTCATTTACTCAAACCTTGTCCGGGCAACCTCTAGCAACTGGGCAGGTCTGGTAGGTTTCCCTCCTCGCTGGCAAGCATTGTCGTTGGATGCTGCTGGAGTCTATATTCTCGAACTCACCATTCTAGGATCTGCAGGCGCATCAGCCCGCACTTTGGTCTTGGTTTCCCCATTCGACTCTGCCTGGAAACCAGAGAAAATTGGACGGAAATCTGGTGGAAGGGTAATTAGAGATATAATTGTGCCTTTGTTTTATCTCTGTCCGTCTTGGTGTGGCGAGCATTACACCTCGTTATAGGCGCGAATGGATCACACCAACCTCCACTGCCGCGCCGCGCCACACCGACAACGAGAAATGCTGAACAAAAAATGCAGAACCGCACGGAAATCTATATATATCGTACAAAAACCCGATCGTAAGATAACAAACCGAGCATAAACTAGGAAAGGATCACAACACCCATCCTCGGCGCTACAGCTAGCCCCACACCCACCCAATGCCATGCTGATGTCATATGGCGCTGTAAAACATTCTCACCTAATCAAAGCCTCTTTGTTCGTTTCCCAGGCTCCTTCAGCCTCCTTAGTTCTAAGCGTGCTGTCGGCTCCTATTCCTCCCATCAATCGCCGGCCTTTGCTTGCAGAGCTCGAGACCCCGCACATGATTTCGGTTTAGCTAACTAATCTGCCGCGAATGGCGGCTAAACGTGGCACCCAATCCCCGTTACAAATACCAGCATTTCCGATTTTCGCCTATTTATTTTCGATCGCGTCCGCTTCATTAGCTAATTTCTTCGTTAGAGGACTTATTTGCGCGTTACAGGGCTCCATGTCATCTGTCTCGAGTTCCTCCTTATCATCATCGAACGCGAACAATAATGTAGTAGAAGGGCGACGATCAGGGAGGCTACTACTACAGACGTGTAGAAAAATCAGACCGAGGGCTGTAACGGGGATAGACGTGGTGATTTCCGGCGATTTCCAGCGTAGGTTTCCCGTACTGGCAATCCTTTTGCTGCTCGCGTTAACGGGTCGGCTTACAGCGGGGATCGGGTCGACGCGAACTGCGAGAAAAGCTGCGGTAACGGTTCCAATCGTGTTGCCGACGTTGCTTCCCAACAACCGATACAACGCCAAGTGCCTCGACGGCAGGTACGAGTTCTGACTCAAAGAAAAGTCGGAGTAACGATACCGAGCGTGCTTGTAACGGTGCTTTCCAACAACCGATACAACGCCAAGTGCCTCGACGGAAGGTACGAGTGTGTTGACTGGCGTTGACGGTACTGAGCGTGCTTGTAATGGTGCTTCCCAACAATCGATACAACGCCAAGTGCCTCGACGGCAGGTACGAGTTCTGACTCAGAGGAAAGTCGCAGTAACGATACCGAGCGTGCTTGTACGGTGCTTCCTAACAACCGATTCAACGCCATGTGCCTCGACGGAAGGTAACCCGGTAACCCGTCAATCGCACGGTAACCCTTGTCACAAGGCTGTCCGCCCCAATAGCCGATCTTCTAACACACGCAGGGAGACGAAGGGGGCATAGTAGCGCCTTTTTCTCGTCTCAACCCCGCCCCCTTTCCTCCCAAAACCCCCCGGCTGCTGCTTCCGCATCGCGCTTTGGCTATGGTCCGCCGTCGTGGCCCCTTCACCCTGCCGTCACCCTCAGTCTCGCTTTTTGCGATCTTAACCCCTCTTTCCCTTGTATCGACTTTTGAGGCGTCTCAAAAGCCCTTGTGTCCCCCTTTCCATCCCTCCTCATCCCCCAGCCCCCCCACCCCCCCACTTCCCAGGCCCCCCAGGTATTTTTACTTGCGCATTGGCTTGGGCTATGGACTGTCGTCGTGGCACATCACATCCATCCACCTGTCTCGTCCTCTCGCCTTTTGTGCTCTTCACCCCCCCCCCCCTCCCCCTCTTTCTCCTTGTATCCCCCATCTCTTTCTCCCGTACCGTTCTTTAACCCACCCCCCACCCCCCCGGGTATTATTTCCGCCCTGGTTTCGGCTATGGTCTGTCGTCGTGGCGGCTGGTAGCCCACTTGTCCCTACCAATGTCTCCCGCACACTTCCTCCCCCTTCCACCTTCCACCTTCCCCCGCATTATCCCGTTCCCCTTCTTCCTTTCCCCAGCCCCCCGGGATATTATTTCCTCCCCGGTTTCGGTAGCAGCCTGACATCATGGCACATCCACATGCCGCCAGGCGGCTGGTGCTCCTCGTCTCTACCAATGCCCGTCTCCTCTCACTTTCTCCCCTTTCCCCCTCCACCTCAACCCCTTCAACCCACCCCCCAGCCCCCCTGGATATTACTTCCGCCCTGGTTTCCGCAATGGTGCGTCGTCGTGGCACATCCACCTGCCGCCCGGCGGCTGGTGCTCCAGCCTCTCTGCGTGTGCGAATCGCAGCACCACCTTCCTGGGGTCCTCTAAACCCGAGCGGCAGAAGGATAGTCCTTATAGTAACGTGAGTGTGTGTGTGTGTGTGTGTGTGTGTATGTATGTGTGTGTGTGTGTATGAATGTGTGTGTGTGTGTATGAATGTGTGTGTGTATGTATGTATGTATGTGTGTGTGTGTGTGTGTGTATGTATGTGTGTGTGTGTGTATGTATGTGTGTATGTGTGTGTGTATGTATGTATGTGTGTGTATGTATGTATGTGTATGTGTATGTGTGTGTGTGTGTGTGTGTGTGTGTGTGTGTGTGTGTGTGTGTGTGTGTGTGTGTGTGTGTTTGTATGTATGTATGTATGTATGTATGTATGTATGTATGTATGTATGTATGTATGTATGTATGTATGTATGTATGTATGTATGTATGTATGTATGTATGTATGTATGTATGTATGTATGTATGTATGTATGTTTGTTTGTATGTATGTATGTATGTATGTATGTATGTATGTATGTATGTATGTATGTATGTATGTATGTATGTATGTATGTATGTATGTATGTATGTATGTATGTATGTATGTATGTATGTATGTATGTATGTATGTATGTATGTATGTATGTATGTATGGGGTTATGGTGTTGCTCTGCTGCTATTAGGGCAGTAGCTGGTGCTCCACCCTCTCTAGGTGTGCGAATCGCAGCACCACGTTCCTGGGGTTGTCTAAGCCTGAGCTGCAGAAGGAGAATGCTTACAGCAATGTGAGTGCATTGACCAGCATTGACTTGCGTTGACCAGGTCAAATCTACGTCCACCTGCTGCCCAGGGGCTGGTGTTTCACCCTTTCTTGGGTCTTCTAAGCCTGAGATTCAGAGGGAAAATCCGTACAACAGTGTGAGTGCACTGACCAGCGTTAACCAGCAATGCCCTTTCCCTCCCACCAAACTTCACATGCATACGTGGTCGTTTTTTAAACCGAGCCTTTCGCAGCTGGAGCCTCGTCATGCCCATCTATTCCCAATGAGGGGGCTTTTCTGTCTCCCCTCACCTGCCCTGCTGTGCTGTGACTCTCTCCCCACCACCAGGCATCATACGCATACTTGGGCATATTAAGCACCGGCCCTTATGTCAACCGCGCCTTCCGCAACTGGAACCTCGTAGTGCCCATCTATTGCGACGGAGGGGGGTTTCAGGGCACGGCGGGATGGGTCAAAGTGAACAACAGCTTCGGGATTTACATGGACGGGTGGAATGGAGTCAAAGCGGTGCTGGCAGATGTGAAGGAGTTAAGGGGAATGCAGTCCGCCGAACGAGTGCTGCTGTCAGGTACTGTGGGAAGACCAACAGTGGGCGGGTTGTGCTTTCTGTCAGGTAATGGGAATCCCATGTAACAGAGGCAGGAAGAAAGCAAGGGGAATGCAGTCGGCCGAACGAGTGCTGCTGTCAGTCAGGAAAGTGGTAATGCGGTTGGACTAGATTCTTGAGAAAGTGGTAATGCGGTTGGACTAGATTCTTGGCTTGCCAGGGGCTGCTGTCAGGGCTGTCGTCAGGTAGAGTGCAGAGACTTGATACTTGCCCCTGCATTTCTGAGTCGACTCAAACTTGAGAAAGTGGTAATGCGGACAGACTAGATTCTTGGCTTGCCAGAGGCTGCTGTCAGGTAATGGGAATGGACTTGTGAGTCGACCCAAAAGTCAACTCTGCTGTCAGGTAATGGGAATGGACTTGTGAGTCGGCCCAAAAGTCAACTCTGCTGTCAGGTAACGGGAATGGACTTGTGAGTCGACCCAAAAGTCAACTCTGCTGTCAGGTAACGGGAATGGACTTGTGAGTCGACCCAAAAGTCAACTCTGCTGTCAGGTAATGGGAATGCGAATGGACGAGCCAAGCGTTTGGCCTGCCAGCGGTTGCTGTCTGCGCTCCATGCACAGACAATCAAGTCAACTCGAGTCAACCTGAGTCAACCCATTTGCGTGCCTTGCTTCACCACCATACCAGGCCAATCAGCAGGAGCCCAGACGGTGCTGACTCTGTGAAGCAAACACATGCAGGAGTATGCTCCCTGTGAGCTCAAGTCAAATCGAGTCAACTCAAGTGTTCTCAAGACTCAAAATCTGCTCCCCCCACCCGCCTCCACTCCCCCTCCACCCCCCCCCGCCCCCCCCCCCCCCTCCCCCCCCCTCCCCCCCCCCCCCCCTCACCCACATCACTAGGCCAATCAGCAGGAGCCGAGACAGTGCTGATGCAGTATAAACACATGCGGGAGTATGTTTCAATGGCCAAGGACCATCAAGCCAACCCAAGTCAACTCAATCTCCCCTCTCCTCCCCCGTCCTCCCCCTCCCCCCTTTACCAGGGCAATCAGCAGGAGCCCAGACGGTGCTGTCACTGTGTGAGCACATGCGGGAGAATGCTCCCAATGCAAAGACAACCAATTCAACCCAGGTCAACCCAAGTCAACTCAAACCGCATGCCTGCGTTTCTCTACCCCCTCTACCAGGGCAATCAGCAGGAGCCCAGACGGTGCTGACGCTGTGTGAGCACATGCGGGAGTATGCTCCCAATGCAAAGACCATCAAATGCCTCATGGACTCTGGTTCATTCACAGGTGAGGTGTGGTGCGGTGATAAGGGGTTTCAAGTGGTGTATAGCCAAGCCAACCATTCTTATGCTCCTAATGCACGCACGATCAGATGCCTCATAGACTCTGGCTCCTTCACTAGTGAGGTGGGGTGCGGTGATGAGGGGTTCAAAGGCGAGTAAAACTAACCTGTGCTTCGCTTGGGGCAGCCTAACTTTCAGAGAATGGCCTCGTACATTGTTGCTCTGCACAAGTATATGTTTTTTGAGAATTCTCAAAAGAATTTTCAGAGAATGGCCATACTTTCTGTCTAACTTACATTGTTGCTCTGCACAAGTTCAAACACGTGCTTGCCGGCACAACCTTTATCTCCACCGCTCCCCACCCCTACCCTCCCCACCCACCCTTCCCCACCCCTCCCCACCCCTCCACACCCCTCCCTGCGAGAATGGGCTCTGACGTTATTGCTCTGCAAAAGATGAACCACTGCCCCTCTCCACCCCTCTCCACCCCTTCCCACTGCTCTCTGCTCCACTTGCCCATCCCATGAAGACTCCCAAGCCTTGCTTTCACAGAATGGCTGCTGAAGTTGTTGCTCTACTCAAGCTTGAACACTTACTGGCACAACCTTTGTTAACCCAGCTGCCCACGCCCTGTCACCCCTTGCACAGACTTCGAGGATTGCACAGGAAAGGCGTACTTTCAGAAGCACTAATTAAGGCTTGACGGGATTCCCCGCCTTGCCGAAACATGTTTGCGACCTGTTCTCTTTGAGTGAATAGGGTTTAGCTTTCAGAATTCTCTTTAGCCAGGGTTTTACTCTTTTTCAGAGTTCTCTTTAGCCAGGGTTTTACTCTTTTTCAGAGTTCTCTTTAGCCAGGCTAAACGCTTTCTCTAGCACTGCTGCTCTTCCAAAACCATGAGTAACAACGACCCTGTCACCCCTTGCACAGACTTGGAGGATCGCACAGGGAAGGCGTACTTTCAGAGAATGGCCTCTCACGTTGTTGCCCTGCTCAAGTTTCGTCACTTGTTGTCTGACACACCCTTTGTCAACCCCCTTCCCCACCCGTCCCTGTCACTCTCCTCCTCTCACCCTTCCACACCCCTCCCCACCTCTCGCCACTCCCCGCCCCTCCCCGCCCCACTCATCCGTCCCACAAATCTCTCAACTCTGCGGCAGATTCGAACGATCGCTTTGGGCAGCCTTTTGTTCAAAGGATGGCATCTGACCTTGTTCCTCTGCATAAGTTTGATCACTTAGTCGCACAACCTACCCTCCCCCTCCTCTCCACCACTCCCCGCCTCAAACCCGCCCCTCCCCACCCCTCCCCATTCCCTCAATCCCTCCCCACCTCTCCCTACCTCTCCCCACAATTCGCACAGACTCGAACGATCGCTATGGGCAGCCTTTCTTTCAGAGAATGGCGTCTGACATTGTCGCTCTGCACAAGTTTACTGGCAGCACCAAGTGCGCGCAAGGTAAGGGCATTGAGAAGAGTCGCCTCAAAACACAAGCTCACACTTTTCAAGGGGAATGTTGCTCTGCTCTGCACAAGTTCACTGGCAGCACCAAATGCGCGCAAGGTAGCGGCCTTTGTGTGTTGGGTATGCCGCCCTTTGTGTGTTGGGTATGCCACCCTTTCCCAGAATATGCCACCCTTTACCAAGGTAAGCCAACCAGCCCTTGCATCACTCAAACTTGACGCTTCGTTCCTCCCTTTGCTTCCACTCTCCAACCCGCATCCGCTTACTCTCCCCCCCTCCCCCCCCCCCCCCGCTCCCCCATCCCTCCCCCCTTTGCAGCCCATTCTGCAAGTGAGCGGTGGCACTGCTTCTTCCCCCAATACTAATTCCCTTTCCCCTCTTGAACCTTGCAGCGAACCAACCAGCCCTCTCCCTCCCCTCTTCCCATCCCACCTCCCCCACCCCCCCCCTCCCCCTCCTCGCAGCCTATTCTACGAGTGAGCGGTGGCACTGCTTCTTCCCCCAATACGCCCTGCCCTTCATACCCCGCTCCCTCCCCCTCTTTGTCATCAATTCTCTCTTTGACTATCGCGCCCTCATGCTTGGAAACCAACTCTCCCCTACCAACCAAACCTACTCGGTTCGGTGCGTTGCCGAGCTGCTTCGGCTCCTCCCGAACCTCACCGTCCAATCGCTGACCGCCAGCTCGCCGCGGCAGCTGGCGCTGTCTTTAGCGGGAAAAAAAGCGAGTAAGGAGTGTACTAGCAGTGAGCAATTGGCGGCACTGTGGGCAGGGCAGAATGTAGGGAAGTTTGTTCAAAGTGTGCAGCAGAGGGGGAAGGGTAGTGGTGTGTTTATCCCAGTGGGGATTGAGCACTGTGTGATTGCGCTTCCCTATTGGAATCGCCTTAGAGTGGATGGGGTTAGGCTGTGTGATGCAGTTGTCTCGTGGTATTTACAAAAATGATATAATATACCGTACCAGCATGAATATATTGTTTCATCACATTGTCATCTATCTTAAAGCCCGTAGGCAAAATAGTGACACGTTCCAATGTGGAGAGAGCAAATGACATGAGATCACTCTGCCCATCAGGCCCTCAGATATCAGTGTAAAACACGCTGATTTTGTAGCTCATATTTTCGTTTTCCCTGAAAATTCAGCATATGCCTCAATTTTGCACTGATATTTCAGTATTACCCTTTTTGCCACACTGACCATTTTGCGTGTTTCTTTACAAGTTACACTGACGAATCAGTATAGTTCAGTGAGTCACACTGAAACGGACTTGACCGCGTGGGGGGGGGGGAGGATAGGGTACCCGACGCGTGTACAGACTGTGCCTTCCCGTGATTCACGAAACCCCACCCCACCCACACACTTGGATTTTTTTCACATGCGCTGTACTTATAGCTTGTGCGCGCCGAACCGTTTTGCCTTGCTGGAAGCAGGGCCCAAAATTGGTCTAGGCCCACCCTGTCTTGTTGGGCTGAGAAAAAGCCCTTAGGATCTTTGCAGGGGTGAACTCTGGGTAGGACTGATGTAATAGCGGAAGCGTTTTAATAAAGAGTTGTGAACCACCTTGCGCTAGTATGTGAGGGCAAAGTAGATTGATTAAAGCAAAGCGATACAAGATTATATAAGAGTACAGGGAATACGAAGAGATACGGTTGCAACTACTTTACTGTTGCTGTTGCGGTTCGATACAGTGACGACTCGGGCAACTGCTCTGTAACGAGTCAGTTGTGTGTCCTTGCTGTCGCGCTGTACTTGTCAGGTCAAAGGTCGCTGACCTTTGACTTTCGCGTAACCTCTAGCAACCGCTCAACCTCCGAGAGTTGACTCGCTGGTGCTTCGATATACTTCGCTTCGCTTCTGACTTGGTGTTTCGACACGACAGAGGCGCTTAGAGTTAATTGTTTCCAACATGCCCCTTCGCTTCTGGAGTGTCGCAGTTGGTGACGTGGCTCTGTCCAGTCAGCAGCATGCAGTACTCGAACTTCTGCTTTCCGAGCTTCTTGGTCAAGTAATCAGCTGCCATCTCGGATGTGGGGCAGTATGACAGCTCGAGTCTTCCTTTCTCGATCTCGTCCTTCACGAAGAAGTATCGCAGGGCAATGTGTTTCGTCCTGTTCGCGAAGCCGCTCTTGTTGGCTATGCGAATGGCCGATTGGTTGTCGCAGAACAGGGTAAAGTTTGGTAACTGGGCTAGCTTGGCTTCCTCCAGGAGTTCGCGAAGGTACAGTCCTTCCTTGGTGGCTGAGCAGAGTGCGATATATTCTGCTTCAGCTGAAGAGAGGGCGATTAATTCCTGCTTGCTCGACTGCCAAGAGATAGGTCCGATAGGCTTGAGGCGATAGATGTAGCCGGTGCGCGAGCGTCTGTTGTCGGAGTCACCGGCGTGATCGGCGTCGACGTAGCCGATTAGTTTAGGCGCTGTAGTCGTGTTTTTATGGTAGGTCAGGCCAATTGTTGGGGTGCTGACAAGGTAGTGAAGAGCGCGGTCAAGCTCCGCCAGATGTTCCGCTTCATGTTTCTTGAGGTAGGTGGCGAGCTGGCTTGCAGAGTACGATAGGTCCGGGCGGCAGGTGACAGCTGCGAAGAGGAGGCATCCCAGCTTCCTTTGGTAGTCGCGTATGCCGGCGGGCTTGAGTAGAGCGGAGCCTTCCTTGTGATTTCCTGCCGTGTAGCGGTATGGCATTGAGATGGCGATCGGCGTGAGTGCGAAGCGCTTGGCGATGGTATCGGCGTATTTCGCTGCGCTGAGGTAGATCGCATTTTCTTCTTCCTGGATGTTGAGGCCGAGGTATTGTGTGACGGTGGACGAGACTGTGAGCGTGAGGTCTTTCTGCAGCTCCCCTTCGAACCAAGTAGTGACGCCGTCGGTCGACCCGATGTAGAGCAGATCGTCTACGTAGACGATTAGTAGGATGTAGTCGGTGCCTTTTGTCAGCCGGTACATTCCCTGGTCGTGAGGTAGCTGGCGAAATCCTATGCGGATAAGTCTTGCGTGCAGGTACTGTTGCCACAGCCTCGGAGCTTGTTTGATGCCGTAGAGCAACTTCAGCAGTTGAAAGACTTGGTTGGGTTCTCCGTTGGAGCCATGCGGGAGCTCGACGAAGATCTCAGCGTCAACAGGTGTGTGGAGAAATGCATTCGCGACGTCGATTTGCCGCAGCTTCTTTTTCTTCATGGCGGCGATCGCGAGGAGGATTCGAAGTGAGGTGTGTCGGCTGACCGGGGCGAATGTCTCGGTGAAGTCGCGTCCGTGTTCTTGGTCGAAGCCATGTACAACCCAGCGTGCTTTGAATTTGTCGATGGTGCCGTCTGCTTTTGTTTTCACTCGGAAGACCCGCTTCCCGGTGAGTATAGTATTGTTTCGTGCCACTCCGATAGGAACAACTTTCCAGGTGTTGCGTTCCTCTAGTGCCTTCAATTCCCTGTCTATGGCTTCGCGCCACTTTTCCCTGTGCTCCCCCCCCAGAGCCTGCTGAACTGTCGCAGGCTCCTTAGGAATCACAGTGCCGTGGACTGCGGTGACGAGGCCAAGTATCTGAAGGCCACTCTGTGTGTAGCGGGGGGAGTGTGGTATCCGCGGGATAAGCTGCTTCGTCACCTGCTTCTGGGTCAGGTATGAAGTTGGGCCCTATGCGTTCTGCTTCGTTGGTGTTGACTTCTGCAGGTGTAACGTAACCGTTGTCGGCGAAGTGGTAAAATACTTCGGCGTTGACGCTTTCGCGAGGGTTTTCGTCATCCATTAGGACATTGACGGAGCAGTACGGGAGAGGTGCGGCTTCCTCCGAGGCTGCGTCCACGTTGTGCTCGTCCCAGTCAGCTTCGTCCGCTGCGGAAGCGAAGGCTCGGTCTCCACAAAGTCCACTGGTGAGGTCGCGTTGTTCTTCCACGTTGGCTAGTTAGGAGTCGAGAGTGAGTCGTTCGTAGAAAATCACATCACGTGCTGCCACTGTTTCCTTGGTGTGGACGTCGAAAATCTTCCATGCGTTGTAATTCTTTTCGATGCCCAGGTGTAGTCCCCACTGTGCGCGTTGGGAGAATCGGCCGGCTCGTGCAGATGGGGGTCGGTACTGTACCATGCAGCCGAAGACTCGTAACATTTTTGTGCTGCCCAATTTTCTTGTCCACAGCAGATGCGGTGATGCGTTGTTCGGGAGCGATGATGACGAGAACAAGTTGTGCAGCATGACGGCGTGGTCCATTGCTTCGGGCCACTGGTGGTTGGGTAGACGCATGCCTCGTAGCAGCTTGCGCATGGTGTTTTGGAGGGTCCTGTTCATCCTTTCTGCTACACCCTGCTGTTGATGGGCGTAAGGAAGGGAGATGAGCCTCTTGATTCCCTTCTCCGCCAGGTAGTTCTTGAAGCGTTGTGAGGTGTATTCTCCGCCTCCATCTGACTAAAAACTCTTTAGTTTTACTCCGTGTCAGTAGAGCTACACTGTGAGATCCCCGATCGATCCTAGGGGGGGTTACAGGCGCGTTTGCCTGGGGGGTTATGGGCGCACTGACCCGCTACTAAAACAAGCCCTTTTATCCCAATGGTCTAGTGGCTGGGATTCTGACATGGTATCAGAGCGGTCTCGGGTTCGAATCCCGGTGTATGCACATGTTGGCCGTTGCCACTGTGCTCAGTCCTGGGCCTCCCAGTGTGGGGGGGTGTCAGTAAAGCTACACTGTGAGATCCCCGATCGATCCTAGGGGGGGTTACAGGCGCGTTTGCCTGGGGGGTTATGGGCGTACTGACCCGCTACTAAAACAAGCCCTTTTATCCCAATGGTCTAGTGGTTGGGATTCTGACACTCCGGACTCTCGTTCTGCTGCTAGAAGCCAGGCGACGATGGCTTCGAAAGCCATGTCGCGACTCGGAAGGTTCAGGTGCCAAACGTATCGGGTGGCGGCGTCGATGAAGGTGATGGTGTAGTTGTAAGCTCCTTGTCCTGGTACGCGGTTGTACAGGATGTCGCTGTACACCTTTTCAAGCGGTGCGTATGCTGGTGCA